TCTATTTTGTTGACTTGATTGCAAGATGATTAGTATTTTCTCATGATTTCAACTGTAGATAAATAGAATAATAGCAATCATGTCATATTTCTATTCATTTCACCACTAGATGTTTGTCTCATAGATGATAATGGGGTCAACTGTATTCATCATTGTATTGTGAATATAGACTACCTTACTCCCTAGTGTGCACTGAGACTGTCATGTCAGGATGATGTTCACACATTCATTGCAGACACAGCTATGTGTTTATGTCGTCCCTGAGTGGTTGTGAAGCACAGTGAAGTCACTTATCAGCGTTACAAGACCATCTCACAACCAGGATCTACTTTCATCACCTTCAACAAAGTAGTCCTGTTAAATTTTTGACTCCTTGTATTTTGTAGATATGTATGTAATTTTAAATACTTTTTTTGTTAAATTTAGTCAAAATAGATGTTATTTCCAACTTGATATATTCTTGATAACAAGTTTTTGAAAACATATATATGGAAACAATTACAATAGATCTATTTTTATTTATTTTTCCATCATTCCAGACACAATAAATCATAATTATCTGAAAATGACACAAAAGATATAAATAGTGGTGTCAGAGCATGTTAAATACCTCTTGTGAAGTTTGTAAACACCATACACCACTTAAGAAAAAATAACATGTTTTAAGTCTCAAAGAATTAATGATAAGAATATTAAATAAAAAATTTCATGTTTTGCCAGGAACCTATATATATATAAATAGAGACCAATTCATTGTCAGAATTTGTTTTAAACTCTGTAAGTGACAGTTATTTTGAATTTTGTTGTTGTTGTTTGTGAAATACTGAGTGCCATATTTTTCCCTGGCAAAATTTGCTTTCATATTTCTTATTATATTTTTGTCTATAATAGTCTGTAATTTTTTCTTGACTAACAATTTGTGATCCACATTTTTTAAAATTCAAGAAAAAAAATGTGATTTTAAAATTGATGAATGTTGAAAGTTGACCTTGCGCTCAAATGCTTAAGACTACACAATTGTAACTGAATTTTGTTATGTAATTTGTTTATTTTTCACTGCCTTAATTAATACTGACAAATTTATACACAAAACACAGAGAACTGTGGTTTTTAAATTATATTCCCCACAGCAATATTAACAAGAACGTCATCATATACATCAGATCCCCCGGCATATTTATTACAAGCACTGATTATATGTCTAAATCTGCTATAGTGTTCCAGATATGATAGTTATGCATTTTTAATGAGGTCACATGACAGTTTATGGTAATTAAATATGTTGGTGAGAACAGTACGCAGAGTTTTCAATAAAGCACTGGTTGAATGCCTATATCTGAAATGGTGCTTCAGATATGAAATTTATGCATTTTTAATGAGATCTCATGACCAAATATGGTTATACTAAATATGTTGATCAGATCTCATGTACAATGTCTTCAATATGTCTCTATCCGTAATATTGCTCTTGATATGACTGTACGGACAAACAAACGCTGTTAATCACTACATTCCCAACCAGCACATTCACCGAAGATTATTAATGTTAATGTGTATATACACACAACAGCAAAGTCAAGTTCAACTGCACAATGACCAGGTGAATATGACCACACTTAATGAAATCAAGACCAGTAACGGTCAGTTTTCTGTACTAAACTAAATTCAATAATAATTGATAATAGAATGATTCAGAAGTATATATGTGAGGAGACGTAGAATTTATCTCTCAATAATTAAATAATGAAATATTTTGAACACCAAATTTGGCCACCGGCATTCACAAATTAAAAATTCATAATTTTTTTCAGATTTTATTCTAAATTTTGGTCAAGACATGTAGCCAACAGGAAATTATGTCCATTTGGTTCAAAATTATTAAAAAAAAATCATAAAATAAATACATATAAATAAATTGAAAACTTTTTATTTTCCATGACTTGTCAAAACACATTCAACTAAAACAACATTTATTTATTTATTTTTAGAAGCACATCCCAAATAGAATTTCCATAAACCAAATTACATATTCTTACTAGAATATTAATGTATGACACACCTCATTTACATAATAAGTGCATGCGCTACTAACAGCAAATAATTAGATGTAATCGATGTGTTATTTACTAAAGCAGAAAAGCTAAATCATAAATTTGATTTTTCGTGTTAAAATACCTTAATTAATTTATTTGTAGTGTATGCGCATACAATAAATGCAACTGTTGGTTTATATGTACAGATGTTTTTTTAACGCCATTGTCAACATTTTGGTAATCATCTACAAAATAGTTTTGTACAGTCTGTTCCTTCACACATGAAAAATTGACAAACCTTTTGATCCAAAACTAAAAACAATATCAGAAACAGTATATATCTCGTGTTTTTGCGTGGAGAAAAAGATAAACAAATTACACAAAGTATATTTTATGCTGGTAATTTATGTTCATAAGGGACTGACCAACAGAAACTCTGGGGGTGAGAATTACTGTGAAAATTATTCCTTCACTTTTTTTTCAAGTGCAGAATTTTTTTTACTAAAACCCTAGTCAATCACTAATCGAGATTTTAAAATGCAATATGGATGAAATCATGTAATGTTTATTACTGCTGTTTGATATCATATATTGATAAATACATTGAATTATGATTTATCATGATCTGAATGAATGATCTTGTTACAGTACAGCAGACTATTCAGTCGACAAAACACAAATAATTTCCAATACACATGTGTACTGATTTTTTTGGTATGTACAATAACAGTCACTGCATATATGTATTACCCGTACTGCCATTTTTTTCTTCAAGTTTTATGAAATACTGTTGCGTAACATTTATAAAAAGCAACATTTATAGGTGACGATAAATCACAATCCAATTTGGTCATTAACATGCAGTATTAAACAGTTTATGAATGCATTTAAAAAAAATCAAAAAAGAAAGAACTCCTATGTGCTGAATGAAGGAATTGAATACATGATATAAATATAGTTCTGCTGTGTGAGAATCACAATTGTCAAAGCAATTTGATCCACAATATTGAAGTTCACAATACAAACAGAAAACCCTACCTATCCCCTATATATGCACAATCCCTGAATACCAATAAAAAATATATGTTTCATGGTGGAACTACTAAAAATGGAGAATTGTGCAATTTAATTAATTTGCACAAGTGTAAACCAAAAATTAATCAGGCCTATGATTTGTTCTGGGGCACGGTCCGCACCTATTCTCCAAGCTTCAAATTTTTATGCAAATTAGATAATTAATATTCACAGATGTCAAATGAAAAGTAATCGGATATGGAAAGTATCACAATGCATCTGTATCATGTTTCGTTGAAATCTGACAGCAGTTCTCCACATATCACTGGGAAAATAATTGGCTAATTATCATGCAAATTAGGTAATTAATATACACAGATTTCCACCATATTTTAATGTATCTGTGTACTAAGTTTTGTCAAAATATATTGAACGATTGTTAGGAAATCAGTCTAAAAGCTGAAAATTGGCTAATTATTATGCAGAATATCTATATTCCATTTTTTATCAAAATTCAAACAGAGGTTCTTGAGATATTGGTGGAACAGACATACATACAGACAGATTAACCACAAAAACTCCACAAAATTAAATAATGCTTTATCATTGTGTTATCATCACTAGATAATCAAACAGAAAATTTAGCATAATATTTGCCACATATTTGTCTAAATATATTTCAATATCCCAAAATAATCTAGACAACATTTTACAATAAGGCTTCTAAAATTGTCTCTACTCAAATATAATTTTTTTTTTATACAATGGTTACATATCATGGATGAAAAAAATAAAAAAAAATAATGGTGACTCTACAAAATTCAAAGAAAACTTTAGTCAGGCTTAGAGCATCTTTCTATTGTTACTCAAAATATTGGTCAGTGACATACACGCATGATGTAAAGAGCTTTAATTTCACAAGAGACAATGTTTCAATAAGGTCACTTGAAAAATCAGAAAAACAGAGAAAAATCTTTGTAAGTAAATGTCACTGCTGCTAAAACGAACATAATTTTCAGTGAGATATTAAATGAAAAAGGATTGTTTTGACTCTGGACTGTAATTTTTGCATATTATATGAAACTTTTTCTACAAAACAAAATAAGTCTACATAGTTTAATAATACTGAAGTAATTCTTTATAAGCAGATTATAACATGAAATATTGTCACTGCTGTATGTGTAATAGTTCATACTCTAATTTTAATTATCATTTTGGTCAACTGTCAAAATTTAATAGCTTTATTTTAAATTTGTGTAAATTGTTGAATATATAGTAATATATTATATATACACGGTCACTGTACATGTACAACAGTAGTACACTTAAAAACAAATTACAACTCTACTTTAGATAGAGATGACAACAGCAGGAATCAGTAATTTGGCACTGAGGCCAGCATTCACTGCCAGCCAAGAAACAAATGAAGAAAATATAACAATACATTTAATAAATATATTTAAAGTAGGGTCAGTCTTATTGTACTGATTTTTAACATATAATTTTAACATATAAATTGACAGTTCAAGGTTATGGGATTGTTATTGTTATATCAGAATATGCTAACTGTTTTGTATGTTGATATGGCAGTATGTGATAAAATCAGACGTAAAACAAACTGATATTTTTTAAGCGTATCGATCATGAAACAGCGTTTGCATGACGATCCGGAGATTTTTTGCACATATTTCTGAATTTCGAAATTTCACAAATTCATTTTTTTCCTTACAAAATATACGAGATTTTTTCAAATTAAAAAAAATAAAGAACAAGGCAAATCATGTTGTCAACAAAATTAACAGACAGGATATCATTACAAATATATAGAAGCGTTAATGTGAGAAACCGCAACAGTTATATACATTGAATCACAACACGAACAAGACAGGCAATAACAAAATATAATGTTGACAGCACCACGCATTGTGAAATCCACTTAGAATGTTGTCTTACCTTCCCCCGCTCTGTGTATCCCCAGACACGGCCTTGTCTGTTCCCCATAATTTCATGCTGCGATGGAGAGTATAAAGTGAGCTACTAGCTGTCACCTCGACACGCAATTCATTTCTGAGCTCACTGACGTTTTGTTCACGATCAAAACACTTTGACTTTCTCTTGGATCCCGCCCGAGTTTATCAGCGCGCCCTCAAACGAAGATCTTCATTTTAACTTTCGCTTTCTGTTTCAAGATTAAAAACAATTTTCAAGGTGTTGGATATTTTAGTAGCTATTTATAGAAAATGACTTGAAATTAATCAATATTTATATTTAATGAGGTTTTTAAAAATATTACAGTCTGCATGTTTCTTCAGCAACTTAAAATCGCCGGTCTCCGATAACCCGGAAGTAGTTCGTGGTGGTTCACTGTTTTGTATGTACGAGTACGACCAGGTGGAGTACGACAATGTTTGACAAAGACTTAAAAACATTTCTTAGTCCTCATTATATTTTTAACGGTTTCTTGTCTTTTTCATATTTATTTTTCAAACTCACTCCACCGATATGTGATTACGTATTTCCAAGGGACGAGTGCAAATTGAGTTGGGTAAGTTCTACGACTGAGTCAGTTTTTTCTCTCATAATTTAAGAAAATATGCTTTTTTATTATTAAAATGTCATGCCAGATTTCTTTTCTGGAAGGGCAAATGTGATCGTCATTCATTTTAAAGGTGTATTTTCACCTCCAGATTAATTATATTATTGCAACTGTGTGTAGTTGCATGTAAATAGAAGTCTGTCAATAAATGTCCAGTTGAATTAGTTTAATACCGCAATGCACTGCAAATTACAATATAATGATGTGATACAACAACTAGCCGGTGTCGACTCCCGACCTGTACAGTGACTGATCCAATCTTGGCTCCAAATACCACAAAACTACGGCTATTTTTGAATATATCCACATATTTAATATTTTGAACTTCACCAGGGAATGTCCTTGGACCAATCCTATTTGTTATTACATTAATAATTTACCTGAATGTTTTAGCCACTCATTTGCTAAAGCATTTGCAAAAGATACTATAAAATGTATAAAGGAAGCAGAAGTTCTACATATGCAATGATAAACAATGTTTAGAACTGGTCAGAGAAATGGGAAATTTGCTTTCACCAACAGTCCCTCTAGGGGCTGTGTTTCAGCAGACTTTGCATAGGCTATTCTGACTTGCATGCATATTCAATTTCTGGGCATAGTATAGAATCTACTGATATTTGTTGCTTTCGCTTGGGCTGTTGGTCATGACCATAATATTGAAGATGCCCTTGCGATCCGTGGTACATCGTGGCCATTTCACAATGTAATCTCATCCTTACAAGTAATTAACTAAAAATGTAATATATTAGTCTTATTTTTGACTCGATGTTAACATAACTCTGTACTATGGTATTGGTGATATATGAATTGGGTGCCATAGGATGGTACTTGATGGCCAACCAACCTAATCAAATATGTATTGTGCATTGTACGAGTGCAAAATAAGTTTAAGGAAATTAGAATATTACGATATTAGTACCAGCTGTTTTATACGCATGGGCATTTGCCGATCCTGTCAAATCTCGTCATCTGTTTTGGGGCATGTCTGATAGATGTGAAACTGCTTCAGCCATTGGGTAACGAAATTAACTGGTGTCTTTGTGAAAACCGCTGTAAAGTGGCAGTAAAATGAATTTGCGCGGTTTTACCAACATAGTAAACCAAGCTTAGAACTCGCGATACTGGTTTTGCAGACGACTATGGTCGAACAACCATGAAAAATAAATGGCGAGACTTGTGTGTTGCGCATTTAGCACAGAAATAAAAGAAACGCTCACAGTTGGACAACCAATCATTTTATTATTGGTCACGATGTACCACGAATTTTCTGCACGTCATTTGTAAACACCACATACATGTGCCGCTATCCAATGGTGGGATGAGCGGCTTCCTCTGTGCACAATCAGCGTCAACTTCCTGAGAGAAACACGACTCACTTGCTAAGCCAGACCATCTGGTGGCGCCCTACTAATTCATCAATAACCAAATATACTATTATCCTGTTCCCGAATTGGACATTTGTTTATTTGGAGTAATTTCCAATTCTACGCCAGGTACTTAGTAATTAATGATTCCACGTATTTATTTGGCCGTTATTTGTCATTCGTAAAATGCCATAATGTTAATTCGTGGAAATTTAAACACAGTGATACTGATAATGAATTAAAAAATTGCCAAAAATACTAAATTTGTTATCCCATAGAAATAATTGAAATCAAAATATTTGGCAATATATTAAGTTTTGTGTCGCATGCACACGATTGAAATATATAAAATGGGCCTGATATACTAATGTTGTATGTAAGAACGAGTTTACATCCTGGAATGGCCACAATGTACCACAAATTCCTTGCCTATATATCACCTATATATGTATGCAATATTTTATTTCATGTATTACATGTATAATGTTACAGTGAACAGTGAATGTTACCTTCAGCAGTGTGAATTTATTGAGTATTAAATTATTTGAATAAATTTAGAGCAAGCACAAGTTATTTCACTTCTCACCAGATAAAAATGTAAGCATGAAGTGGCTGTTATGACTTCCTCACGAACATGCCACACCTTCTATCTGCATTCATATGTCACTCAGCCTAGAGCATTTCCAGCGAGCATCGACGTGGCACGTTTAGAACGTTAACCACATAGACACACTGCATGCAAACCCAAATGCGAAGTTTCAATAGCAGCTTCGGACACATTTGCTTCACATATCAGAATATCTTAAAGTTATCAGTATCTGTAACAACTGTGAGATGTGAAAAAATAAGATGCTTTTCAAGATAACTATATCAAGTTATAATTTTCTGTTGCGTCAATGATAAGCACATTAGCATAACTAGTTGCCTATCAGCAAAAATGTGCATCAGTGGTGTGTTGTATCAGCTTAGAGGGCACACTGCTCATTTCCAAAGATATCTACTGCCACTAAATCTATTATATTAATTCAAAAAACATTAGAGAATATAGTCAGACAACTTTTCCTTTAGGATTTGGACGTTCAATGTGCAAGATTACATTTGAATATTCCAAGAGAAAGTACATCACAAACAGATATAATTACTGGAGAAAAATTTGATGTGCAGTTGTTGCATGCACTCAGATGCTTATGCCAGAAGGCAACACACCAATAGACATTGCACAAACTATCATTTCATTTAATGTTTCCCAATATTGCCTGTCCCTGTACTATCTAGTGGTCTTGATTTATTGGTCATAGAAGCTGTTGCATATTTTTAATTTTTTCTTCAACAAGTTTGCATGAATTATGATTCTAAATTTACCTTATTTTAATTATTATGCAACTTTTACTATTTTTCAGGATGACTCCAACCTGTACCTTTTTCTATTGTGTGTTATCGTTATTAAAAACCGAAAGACATACAATTGGTTGCAGTACATCAGCACATCATTTATATTTGCTAAGATTGCTAACGGTGTATTATTCCTACGAGCAGATCCAAGATGGGCTGCGTTATACGGTATAGTCTGTATTGGTAAGGAAAATATCAATTTAATTCAATATTTGACAACATTAATTATTATCATCAATTATTCATACCAGCCAAACATTGAGCACAGTACCCAATGAGGTTATTCAAAAATGTTGCAATGTATTATTGTTATTGTTATAGTCTAACAACCCTAATTCTGGAGCCAACAGACAAAATATAAGTTAGTTTTCAGTTTTTACCCAACAAATTTGGCTATTTTTGTCCCAATCTTCTGAAGGAAACTGCAGACTATAACGGGACTATTTTGTGAACTTGTGACAAAAAGAGGGAAGTGTTGGTGAAAAGGTTAAAACAGAAACCTTAGAAAGATATAATTTTAAAATCACATGACATTGGGGCTCCCCCCCCCCCCAAAAGTGTATTTTACAAATGTTCTATATATCTTTAAATTTTTACTGGCAGAAGTATTTTGTGATTTAAGTATTGACCAGAAAAATAAGCCGTCCATATCTAATCTAGAGTTAGGTATTGGGGAAATTATGTCTAAAATTAACAAATAAACTATTGAAAAAATACATTTGTGAAAAATTTTCCATCAAGAATTTTGCAAGAATATAGCGTTCTGTGGGTAAGTAATTTAAGGGCAGGCATTCACAGAACTTTTATAAAAATTTTGTTAAAGTCACAGGAAAAAAATGTTTTCTGGTTTGTTTTTCAAAATCTGGGCATGGACGGCTTTTTATTTTTATTCTGAAGTTGTCATTTAATTTACAATTTTTGTAAAAACTACATTTTCTGACAAAATGGTGGAAACAATTATAAAATTTCTCTGACTCATTAAAATTTCAATGGTTTGTCTCTTGCAACGTCAAATTATCTGTTTTTAGTTGACAGATAAAATACTGACATTTAGTTATTTCAATTTTTTTCTGTGACTTGTACATTCATTTTGAATCCAAATCAATCAATCTCAAGATAAGTATCAACAATTTTACCTTTACCATACAGGTCAGAGTTCATAGGTCACTAGTGCTGTACTGTTAACCTTGGATTAATTCATTAGTGAGAATTGGGTCAGCAATTTATAGATTTTATACAACCCTTTTTGAACATGGGCTCACTAATGGGCAAATTAGTTAATGATCTTTTCTCAGGTTCACCTTGTTAATTGCTCTAAAAGTTACAAATTGTAATTAAAACAGTTTATGACATAAACAGAACACTGTCAATATTTGTTTGAGAAAATTTACTAACATAATTAATAAAAAACGTTCATTCTGCCTGATACTAGCCAGGTACGTCAGTTATAACATCGAGAGTGAGCATGCCACACACACTTCCGTATTTCCTGAAGTCAATATTTCCAGATTGGAAATCTAACTAAATAGCCGTCTAAGTCGATATAACCATTGTAACATGCAGATTTGTAAATGCAGCTTCATCTAGTTATACCTGTTTTTAACCAAGGTATTTGGACATACAAAAATCCACATTCGCAAATCTTTATCTTATCTTTTCAGACTATATGCGTGTGAAAATATATAATCCCACAATATCATCTCTTAGTTTGACGTAATCAGACACAGTGATTACTGCCAGAGTAGTGTCAAATGATACAACACATTTGAGGGTAATATTGATGACGTCAAATGAACAGATTATATATAAGATTACCGTATAGATTAAATATTTTACATTCAGGGGTTATGTACTTTTTTATTCATCAGATTCTTCATATCATATGTTACAGATTACTATTTGAATTAAATACTGTGGAATACTTTATTTTCGCTGGAATTAATTTTCGCTGAAAAGGCTTTTTGGGGGTTTTGTATGGAATTTATTTTCACTGGTTTTTGATGAGTTTAATGTGAAATATAGGAAAAAAAGTATATTTGCTGGATTTTATTTTCACGGAATCATCCCTTCAGCGAAAATAGCGAAAATAAATTCCAAGTGAAAATAAAGTATTCTACAGTATTCATCTTTCACATGGGAAATAATTTACCATTGTACATTTATAATTGACAAAATTCATCAAATTTGTATACACTAATACATTCTTTAAAATTAAAAACAATTCATATCTATTTTTTTCCTTGTAGTGATATTTGTAATTTTCCCAGAATCAGCTTACTCTGGTCCAGATAGCATAACATATTTCAGTGGAGACACGCTTGAGGTAGGTTGGTTGCATCCCTATTTTGCTATCAGGATCCTACAATATATAACATCATAGGAGCATGTCTATGAGAAATATAGCGTCTAGTTTGACCATATATGGTCATAATGTCTAGTGTAGCTGTTTATAGTCATTGTATCTAGTGTTGCCCTATATGGTCATGGCAGTAATGGCCATAGTATCTACATTGTCTCATCACAGGCAAATGCATCTTGCTGTGTTAATGATAGTATCTCACTTCACTGTAGCGCCCTCTGCAGCTTATAGAATGATGATAAAGTTAAAGGGACAGTCACTGGCCTGATGTGTGATCACACAGTATCATAGAGAATTTCGTGAAAAAAGAAAGAGTAAATACTGCTGATTTGCCAGGCGATTTATCGTTTATCCAGAGGGGGACTATGTCATCTGTTGATTTATAATTCATTTTTCCCAAAGGAACAACTGGAAAAAGATCGCAAGAAATATTGGTTGGTAGAATTCTACGCTGGTTGGTCACCTGCTTGCGTTCGATTCTCATCAATATTTGCAGAGCTCTCCGTCAAGTGAGTAAATCTGTTTCCATCAAACTGGAAGTACTTTGTAATATATTCACAGTCCATTGACTGCATTGTAGCAAGATTTTTGTAAAAGTCTTTTAATTTGGTCAAAATAAATATCTATAACCAAATAGCTATAACCAGGGCACTTAGTATATGACACAAATACATTTATTTTTCAACATACAATAAACAATATAATTTTAATAGAGTTTTGTTTGATCTAAAATACCCACTTATGATCACTATCTGAAATGGCATGTGAAGGAATATTGTGAGCTTATACCTTGGTCAAATAAAAAAATATGTTTAGTTCTGATAACCTGACCCAAATGTATTGCCTACCTGAAATCTTTTAGATAAAAAATTAAAAAATGATGCAAAATCGCACAAGATTTCATTGAGACTTAAAAAGAATGTACTGACTATAACCTAATTGGGGACACTTCGGTGTAAACATGTGGGTTTTGTTATGAATTATCAAGCAAGCGCAAAGAAAAGGAAGTAAAAAGAAATTTAAATTTGACCCACCCTATTCGTTTATCAGAAACACAACATTTTATTTTGGCAAAAACTAGGTGACAACACAACTTGTCTTCACAATGCCATTATGTATAGCTCACACTGTTATTCTCAGTTATTAGATCAATTGAACAGAACATATTTATTGACTGATTTTCATTTTTACAGATATTCCAATGAGTATTTAAAGTTTGGTAAATTTAATGCTGGAAGTTCACCCGAAATTGCCGAAAAGTAAGTACATTTGTATTTATCAGTTCTTTAGTCGCTATGTCACAGTGTTTGGATTCCAAAGTACTTGATTTTGATGGGCTTGCTTTATTACACCTTGAACATCTTACACAAAATAAACTAGCCTGGAATCCAGTCACTCAGAATGCCCTTCTCAGTGTACTCAAAAATCTTCTGGTGAATCGCTTTGTGAATATGTAGACGGTACAGAATTCTCTGTCATCACTGATTGACTGTCTCCGTGACTTCAGTACTCACAATAATAGACGACATCTAAAAATAAACCTAGTACATAATTGTTTCGATACATCTGATCTGTGGACAGTGAAAAATGGTTTAGACAACTATAAAAAGATGTTTAACAATTTATGGCTGATAAGCTGTGACTTTCAAAAAGATAACTACCCGGTAGTTGTTTATGAGCTCATTACCTGCAGTAGTATTTCACAGGTTCCTTTTCCTCCACAGTGATATTCTTGTAATCTATGAATTGATATCAAGATTTCACAAATGAATTCTGATGGCAATGTATGTGATACCAAATGGAGTTCTCAAAACTCATCCATTGTTTGAACAAAATTCTTTATGAAAAAAAAAGTTTTATCAGAAACGAAAAGACAGTTGATCTGAGAACTATATATCTTTTTGTATACTCCATAGATTATGGATTAAATAATGGCTCAGAATGTCTGATGGCTGAATAAAATTGTGCTTAAATTCACCCACCAACTGTTTCATCAGAAATGTATATCCTCATCACAAAAGCCTTAATGAATCTGCCAAGATGCAAATAACTGAAGATAGGTGTAAAATCTTAGTGCCTAATTATCTAACCTAGTATGAAAAAAAAACAAGAAAATCAAATCATCAACATATTGTTCAATTTATTATTTAAGTCTTTTTCTCATCTAGGTTTAAAGTTAATGCGTCTGCCATGTCCAGACAATTACCTACGTTGTTATTATTTCATAATAATAAGCCGCAAATGAGAGTTCCTGTCTGGGACAACAAAGGACGAGTTGAGAAATACTCATTTAGTGAGGTAAGTGAACAACAACCCATGAAAGAGACTCTGTCATTGGTTAATTTGAACCGAATAATTAACACTTAATCAGAAATAACCAATGATATAGTGGCTGCGTTGATAATAGCACTGTTGCTAGAACTGTACATGTGTGCATGGAAAGCAACCAGTGTTTACATACTGATAGCAACTAATTTTTAGGGATCTAAAAAAATCCAATTGCACATTTCAGGCAAGCTTCAAACAATTGTCAACATTATGTGTCAAGCTTATCATAGTTAAAGGTGTTTTGTCAAGATAAAGTACTGTAGTGTACATCAAAGAGCAGTGTTTATGATTTGTACCGCTTATATCTCATACTGTGCTCCATGTTGATAAAATGAGCACAGTCGCATTTTTGATTACAGCACATTTTCTGTGTTTGGATCATCACTGCTATTATGGTCAAGAGCACTTAATTGGTGGATTTGTATTAAATAGAATTTATTGATTCATTGATCTAGTTCTGAACATGTACTAGCAGTCAAAGTCAGTTAATTGTGAACCAAACCTTTTATTTATTTTTCAGAACAGTATAGTCTATGACTTTGACCTGAACAAATTGTATGAGGAAACAACGAAAATGTGTAAAGATAAGAAATCAAAGAAGAAAGCAGATGCTGTGAAAGATGAAAAAGAAAAAAAAAATGATTGAAATTTCATGGTTGTCTGAAAAACAAAAAATTACTACTGGATTTGTCTTGAAATTGAGATTGACCGTATAATTAAAATGACACATAAGTCTAATTATAATTGCGGATATAATATGATGCAATCTGGATAGTGACGACTGGTTGTTAAAATCAGTGATTAAGTGAATATGAAAAGTGTGTTTTTTTTCAAGATATAAAAACAACTGCTTGGTTTATTGTTAAGTGTAACTAAGTGGCATATCTTAAGACTAAAGGATCGCTACATCCACTGCATTTTCTGTGATAACTTTAAGATGTGAAGCACTGAATAAAATCAATTCAATGAAACTCACGTTGGGATCACCATTTGTGGACGAGGTCTTCAGTGGTCCAAATGGTGTATTATGTTTTTGAAGTAGACAACATTCCCTCACTAGACTATATTGTATAGAGGGACTGTGAGTAGGAAAAGCTTTCTTTTTAGTGTATATTAAATAAATTAACAAGAATAATCATTGTTCATATGCATTTTCATGATAGTTCAAGAGAAAAGTAAGCAGTTGCATGGCATACATTTTGGACAACGAACATAACATTCCATTTGCTTCAAGCCTTTATCACACTTTTTGAAAATAATTATGCTGATTTTGTTTGAAAGGCGACAAGTGTTGAATGAAGTGTTGAAATGCCACTAATCAGAAACTTTCTCCTGATGCCACTCAATTGAAACTTTCCGAAGATGCCACTCATCTGAAACTTTCCCAAGATGCCACTCATCTGAAACCTTTCACAGATGCCACTCAGTTGAATCTGTCCCAAGATGCCACTCAATTGAAACTTTCCTCAAATGCCACTCATCTGAAACTTTCCTCAGATGCCACTCAGCTGAAACCTTCACCAGATGCCAGTGGAAACTTTCCCAAGTGTTTGTATTCATAGGCTGAGCACCATTATTGTGGTACAGCTCATTTTTTCAAACTGACTAGATTGTGTGATGTACCCACCTATCTTCTATGTCTTGGTTGTGTCTCATATATTGAACCTTGAACTAATTCTGATATAGATATATTCACCTCACTTTAGATATTCCTATGGTAATTTGCTAGAAATTAATGCCTTACCAACTGCACATTTTCTCTCCAGTAATAACTAGATCTAGTACTAACATGACTATTAGTTTATTTA